ATTTATATTTAACATGTGTTTCTTATAGGCAACATATATTAATAGTTTGCTCTTGGGCTCAAGTGATCCTCCCTGAGTAGCTGGGACTACAGGTGCATGCCACCATGCCTGGCTATTTCCTAGTATTTTAAAGATCTTACTCCACTCTCTTCTCACTTGTATTGCCTTCAACAGCAAATTTGATATTGTCCTTATCTTTGTTCCCTCTGTATGTATCAAGTCTTTTCTCTCTGATTGCTTTTAAGATTTTCTCTACGTTACTGATTTTGAGCCATTTGATTATGAGGTGGCTTGGTGTTGTTTTCATCAAGGTTCTTTTTTTTTAGAAAAAACTAGTCCTTCATCAAGTTTCTTGTGTTTAGGATTTGTTGAGTTCCTTAGATCTATGTGTTTATAGTTTTCATGAAGCTTGGAAAGTTTTAGGACATTATTTCTTCAAATATTTTTTCTGTCCCTCATCTCTTTTCTTTCCTTCAGCAATTGTAATTACCCATATGTTAGGCTGCTTGAAGTAGTCCAACCACTGATTCTCTTTTCTTTTTCTTTTCCTTTGTTTTGATTCTTTTATCTGTGTTTCATTTTTTTTTTTTTTTTTTTTAGGATATGGTCTTATTTATTATTTAACTCAAAAAATCTTATTTTTGGCTCGACTCAGACTTAGAAGTAGATGCTCTCAGAGAGGACAGCCTATGTCTCTTGGCAATCTGTTCCTGGCGCTTTTCTTTGGCCTCCTTCATTCTCTTAGCCAGAAGTTTAGCATATTCTGCAGCCTCTTCCTTATTTTTCTTAGTACGCTGCTTCTTCAGAGCAATACGCCAGGCATTTATGTTGCAGGACACGTGGAGTTACAAATCGCTGAATCGTGGGTGCCTTGGTCCTAGGTTTCTTACCTTCTTTATTTAAGGGCTTCCTCACAACATACTGGCAAACATCATCTTGTTTAGACGGATTGAAGAGTTTGCGGATTCTGCTAGCTCTTTTGGGCCCCAGACGACGAGGTACTGTAGTATCAGTCAGTCCAGGGATATCCTTCTCTCCTTTTTTTACAATAACCAAGTTGAGAACACTCAGGTTGGCATCCACAATACAACCTCGAACAGATTTGCGCTTTCTTTCTTTCTCCAGTTCTTCTTGGTCTGTAACAGGAATGCCCCTTACTCAGCAGCAGGCAAACACGGCCATGGGTCAAGACACCCTGCTTCATGGGGAAACCTTGCTTGTCATTCCCACCACTGATTCGGGCCACGTAACCCTTCCGTTCTTCCCCCAGAGCGTTGGCAGCAACTTCCGTGGCCATACACTTCTCATAGAAAGTATAAAGTTTGCGTTCATCATCCACTTCAATGAGTTTCTGGCAGCCAGTGGCTGGGAAGGAGATATTCAGCTTCATCGTGAAGCAGCTGATTATCTCCCAGGCGCCATGAAAAAGAGGCCAACTTCTTTTTGTTTCCTAATCTTAAAACAATATGTAAAGTGTAACCATTTTTGTTCAGTTAAGGTAAAAAAAAAAATACCGCATTAATATGGTTAAATTCCCAGGATCTTCAGTTATTTAGGGATGGACTAAATGGATAGCATCGTTATTTACAAAAGTGTCTTGACCTTGATAGAATTTATGTTGAGAAATAAAGTTTACATTTTTTACTTTGATCTTTTAATTTCATTTGTCCATAAACTTTTAAAAGTCCCCACATACAAATGGGCACTTAGAAAATAGGCAGACAATCTCATTTGACTGACAGGAAGTTTTGTGCAATTTAACAATTATCTAAGGCAACTTCAAGGTGTGTCACAACAAATTGTGTTGGAAATGTTGAGCCAAAAATTAATTAGGATGACTTATGCTATGGCCATAATGGAGTAATAAGGACTGGACTTTCCCTCCCTCCTGACCAAAATATATGAACAAAGGCTTGCAAAACTCTGTAAATCAGGTAACAGAGGACAGAGACCCCTGAGAGACAGGAAACAAGCAAGGTGAGCTGGACAACTACCCTTGCTTATGCCTGGTGAGAGTTTCAAGGCCACTACCAGGGGAGAGGAACCTAGGAGGAACTCATTAGGCCCCCTGAGTTGAAGGGACACAGCTGATAATCCAAGGAAACCAAGGTGGGCTAGAGTTTCCAGGACAAGGTTCCAGAGAGGAGGGAGCTACACAGAGAGAGAGAGAACTCCAGGGATCTGCAGATGGTCCTTCCTAAAGTGTTTAGCTGAGTATTCATTAGTATAGGCATATGATAAAGGTACTGTAGGTTGGGAGAAAAAAAAAATAAGAAAAGATTGAAAGTAACAGTACACATGCTCACATGTGCTTATTTTACCAGCCAAACTAGAAAAAATTCACAAGGTATTGGGTAGAAAACATGGAAGGGTCTTGCCTCTGCATTAGAAAATAATTAGCCCTAAACTGAGTACAGATATGATCCCAATTATTAATAATAAATTTTAAAAGATCAGAAAAAAACAAACTGTTTCCAACTAACTTAAATGGATACCAACATAAAGGTCAAGATTATATAATAATAACATTATATACTATTATATAATAAAATATAACATATTATATATAACATTATATAATATTAAGATATAATATTATAACAATATATATTATATATTCCAGTACCCAATAAGGTAAAATTCACCATATGTGATATCCAGACACAAATTAGCAGGGATGGAAAAAAAATGGTAGGAAAATACGGCCTGTGATAAGGAGAAAAATCATTCAATCAGAACTGACCCAGAACAAGTACAGATGTCAGAATTAACAGTTAAGGACATTAAAGCACATTAAAACAGTATTCTATGTGTTCTAAAGTAGAGACATGGAAAATATAATAAAGGCTAAAATCAAACTTCAGATAAAATTTATAATGTATGACATGGAAAAATGTACTGAAGGAAATTAATAGCACCTTAGGCATTGAAGAAGATAAAAATCATTCAAAATACAGAGAGAAAAGAAAATCGTAAAAACTAAACAAAGCAATGGTAAATAGTAAATACCAAGCAGCTTAATTTATATGTAATCTAAGTTCCCAAAGGGAGGAGAGGCAATGGGGAAAATCTTTTGGGACTTTGAGTTAGGCAAAGGTTTCTTTGATATGACACAAAGGCATGATTTATAAAATAATATATTGATAAGATGAACTTCATCAAAATTAAAAAAGCATCTGCTTTTTTCAAAAATTCAAAAGAATTTATTAAGAGAATGAAATGACAAGCTGCAGACTGGGAGAAAATATTTGCAATTCATATACCTGATAGAGGACTTGCATCTAGAACATTTAAAAATGCTCAAAATTCAGTAATTAAAAAAGCAATTTAAGAATTGGGTAAAAGAATAGAACTGATATTTCAGAGTAGACATATGTTTGGTAAATAAGCACATGAAAATATGTTCAACATAATTAATGCTAGGGCCATGTGAATTAAAACCACAATGAAATGCCAGAGTCTAATTTAAAATAGCTATGATTAAGAAGAATGTTAATAATAAGTACTGGCTTGGATGTGGAAGAACTAGAACTCTCATATATTGTTGATGGGAATGAAAAATGGTAACCTTTGAAAAACAGTTTAAGAGTCTCTCAAAAAGTTAAACATGATTCTACCATATGATTCATCCATTCCACTCCTGGATAGTTCTCCAAGAGAAATAAAAGTAGACGTTTGTATAAATATATATGCACAAATGTTCATAATTGACTTATTTATCATAAATACCTGTGGGTGACCTATTATTAAATGAAAGTCAACAAACCTCTTTTCATTTCATTTCATATAATTACATGTGCCTTACCATTGTGGCTGACAATAAAGATATTACACTTTACCTGATGGATTATTTATCATGTTTTTAGTTTACGTCTATCTGGAAAAATCACCAATTCCAATTGCTCTTCATTGAGTCATGTACAATGCACTTCTATTATTTTTGGAAGCTTCAAAAGGTGGCCTAGAGCTAAGTTCTTGGCTATAAAACTGTTACTTAAATTTAACATTTAGATAGAGACAGTGTTTTAAATTTGGGTAACTGAAAGAAGTTTAGTACATGCAAAGAGAAAAATAAAAAGTTTAGTCAGGGACAGGTAAGAAGTTTCTTCCACTGCATTATATGTAGCTCTATTTGAATAAAGGATGAAAGACCAAATATTCAATGTTTAGGCTATATGTTATATATACATGTTATAGACTGTATGATATGCTGGAAAGAGAATGAATGGAAATTAATTAGAAACTGTGGGGTCCAGTCTAAATCCCAGTTCTGTGGCTCACAAGCTATTTGTACAGTGATAAACAACCTCTGCGCTTTTTTCTTTGTATCCACAAAATTGGCAAAAAGAATCTCTAAGTTATCAAATTCAGGAAATTTCCATAAGAATCAAATAGATAACATACGTAAAATATATTTACACTTCATAAAACCAAAACAACCACACGTGCATTTGAACCTGCTGTACCAAGTTTGTCTTTTAGCAGGAGACAGGTGAAATTTAGAGTAAAGAATATTCTACCAGGAGTAAGGAGACCTATAATCAAACTCTCAGAGAAGAGATCTTTTTCTGAGGGAAGCTTTATGATTTTTGAATAAAGCCTAGATTTCAGTTGCTTACCTAGAGGATGGTAAAAGTCAAATGCAATATTCAAAATCACAGATTTAAGAGTCTGTGCTTTTTGCAAAATATTAGAGATTGTGCAAAACTCTTTCTTCTCCTTTAGAGTTAATTCAGTAGAACAATTACTTGAAACCAGAGGGATCTGCAGCTGTTTCCAATGCCATGTGTTCCTCTTTAGAGATTCTAATCACGTATTATTGGGAGTAGTCAACAAGGAAATTACTTAAAAGAGTTTTGGTACGCCCTTAATTAAATGATAAACGTGTGTCAACTTTGATCATATTCCATTTGTTTTTAATTCAAGTATATAGTGATCTTTCATATTCCTTAGTAATTCTGATGCATTTCAAATACACATTACAAGCCCATTATCCATACCTGAAATGGCTGCCTGCTGGAAATGTTGAGATGTTTCCTTATCCATCTGTTGCCTTGATTCCCAAATATCTGCCACAGCAGCTGTCCCCTCGTGTCGCTCCAGATCCGCTGATAGATGGCCAGCCTATAGATGTGCTTCCCAAACATGTGGTAATAGAAGCGGAAGGTGCAGCCCTTTGCATCAGTGGTATTAAAGATGGGGCTGAGTAATGCAGCACTGTCTTCAAAAACCTGTGGCTCTGAAGATTCTATGTAGAGATAGTGTCCTTTAGCTGTGCCCAGAGTATTATCCTTCATTGGCCCTGTATTAAGTGTTGAAGTTGGCCCCTGGTTCCTGGTCCAATCAAAGTCATCTTCTGTGTCTTGTTCCCAGTTACAAATTCCATTTTCAAAGTTACACTGTAGTTCTGGTGCTGAAATTCACATTAAATAATAGCAACAAATAAATATAACCATATAATATCTATTAATGTTTAAAGACAGTTGATACTTTGCTCTTGCCAAGGCAAGCCCTTTTAATTTTAAAATGCAACCTTAAAGTCTTAAAAAGAATAAATTCTAGGTAATACATCAAGTAATAATATTTTATGGACCTAACGACAGTATCACTTTGGCCATTTTTTCCAAATCATTTTTATACTCAATGCTCCTCCATTTCCACTACCGTAACACCAGGCAAATGGTCAAGACTCTAAGCTTGGCTGACTGTAACAAACTTCTAGTTCAGTAGATTGTAAGCTCAGCTGTATGTTCCAATCATCAGGAAACATTAAAAAACAAACAAATAAAAAAACACCAAAGCCCAGAGTTCACCTCTGCCTCCAGAGGTGTTGATTTAATCGGTCCACGTGTTAAAGCTGTGTGCCAGGGTTTGTTTGTTTGTTTGTTTGATTGTTTTTTATAAGCTCACTTGGTGATCTGAACAGGTGGAGCTGAGAACAATCATAGTTTAATAGGTCTCAATATGTCAGCATCACCTGGAGCTCCTGGTAAAATTGCTTACTCCTTGGCAAAATCCCGAAACTAATACTAGTATATTAGATACAGGGTGGAGCCTAAAAATCCACATTTTTTAACAAGCATCCAAGATAATCCTGATGTAGATGTTTTCCAGACTTCACTCTGAAAAACTCTTCTCGTTGGTTCCATCCGGCCCCAGTTCAAAGGCGCCCATACACCACTGCCTGAATGACAATCCTTCAGTGACAGTATTTCCATTTCGTTCTTTCGTCAAAATTCTTTAACACATGCTCATTTAATCTAAATGTAAATCTAAACTCCTCTGTCTTTCAAACTCCACCTTCCCCAAATTAAAATGACTTCTTGTTTGTCCCCATCTACCCTTCCCCCTAGCCTGCACCATCTTCCCCAGGTACCCTGAACATCTTGCCCCTTCTTCCACCTGTTTACACCTAATACTACCTATGCACCTGGTCAAATCTCTGCTGTGTCTCAGTGGTGCACTTTCCTTCTCACTGGATTGTAGCTCATCTGAGCTGGAGCTTTTAAACTTCTAACTTCCTTCAGTCACTAGAACAATTTAAAGACTTATAAAGACTCGACTCTAGCAGTCCAACCTTAACAGATATTTTCCTTTCAGTAATTTCATTCACCCACGGTTAACTGTGGTCAGAAAATATTAAATGGAGAATTCCAGAAATAAGCAATTCATATGTTTTGAATTGCCTTTTGTTCTGAGCAGCCTGATGAAATCTCATGCCATCACAAATAGTAGCCTCAGTTATCTAATCAACTGCCTTGGATCACAGCGCTTGTGTTCCAATTACCTTCATTTTACTTAATAATGGTCCCAAAGTGAATGAGTAGTGATGCTGGTCTGCTGTTATAATTGTTCCATTTTATTATTAGTTATTGATGCTAATCTCTTACTGTGCCTAATTTATGAATTAAACTTTATCACAGAAGAGGAGAAAACAATAGCATGTATAGGGTTCTGTACTATCCATTGTTTCAAGCATCCACTGGGGGTCTTGGAATGTATCCCTTGTGGATAAGGGGGATTACTGTCCCTTATCAATTGAATAGTCTATCTAAATTTTTAGGGTAATAATAGAAACATGTTCATTTTATAAGATGTGATGATATGTTGATACCAACTATTTATTTGCTTTAGGATAAAGGGGATAAAATATACATTTGACGATATTTGGGCGGAGGGGACAATATTTAGAATTAATGCATATTTCCTCCACATTTTAGCTTCATTTACATAAATGTTTTTTTAAAAAAATGTCAACTGTCCTTTAACTTTTTACCTTAGCAATGGCACTTGGTGCCAAAGATGAACAAATACTCTGAAACAATAAACTCAAGCGTATGCGAATAAATGCAGCCAGGCGAGAACTCATCATCTGTCTTTCAAAAGCACAGAACAGAAGCTGAAACCCAATGAAAGGAACCAAGTGAGTAAAATGTCAAGCAGGAGATGAGCTTGCTTTTCATATTTTCTCACTTGTGACTAATCAAGCCCAGCTTTGATGTGACCTGGGGACGCTCAGTGTACCCTCCAGGTGTCAGTCTTTGGCTGTGGAGCAGAAGAATGCCAAGTTGCTGAGGTTTTGACATAAAAGTGGAGCTAAAACTAACATATTTTTATATTGGCTGTCTTGGTGCTGACTGCACACCCAAGCTTCACTTCAAAAGGGAATATGTCTAGCTCCGCCTCCACCCTTCAATAACAGACCACATCCCTAAACATATTTCAAGAAATTCAACATGGATTTCTGGATGTCAAATACATACTATATAATAAAGTAATATGTCTCATCTATTATATACTATGTAATAAAGTATTATGCCTCAATGGAAAGCTTTGAGAGAAGTCGACAGTCTAACAACACTATTTCTTATCACTGATACATACTCACAAGATGTATTTTGATATTATATTCATACTCCCAAAATTCCATTCTACTAAATTAATATTGGGAAGTTTGATGGGTAATTTACGTATTTTTAGCAGTAGACTGACATTTTTCAATGAGTGGAATTTAGAGACCTTGAAAAAGATAGGTTTTCGGAATTTGCAAAAATAAATTAGCCTTAGGACAAGTTACACTTCTTATGATAGTCATTGTCAAAATCACCAGTTTTAATTATAGCCACTCAAATATTAGTTGTGTAAATTTCATGAGATGCATGGTAATTCTGAGTTTAAAAAGCCTGACTTTAATATGCCTTTGATAATATGTGTATCAAAAATTACCTGCATGCAAAACTCTCTACAGTGATTTATATGGAAATTTCTTAATGTTTCCTAAGCATTCTATGGTTCTACTTTGGTTTATAATTAGCTTACCAATGTAATGAGCACAGATCTAATAAATCAAATAAATTATTTATTTATGAAATAAATGTATTATTAAAATATGTTGAATAATCATTGTTATTTCTGGACAAAGAATCAGAGTGCAAGGAAAGATGTAAACTTTTTTTTTCCCTGACAGATTTTTGTAATAAAAATGAGAACTATTCACTTCTGATTCATTTTCAAAAGTAAGTACAGTAGGCACTACTAAAGCTTGGTTCATTGAATTATAAGACCTACACAATCATCAGATATCACAGGCGTTTTGGTAATTTAAACTGAAATCCAGGACTTATCTTTGACTCCTCACCCTCTGCTCCTTAGAGCCAAAAGATCATCAGACATCCCTTTAAACATTCCCCCCAATCCTATTCCTCATATGCATCCCTGTCTCTGGGATTCACTGCCAACTGCTCTCCTGGGAACCACTGCACTAACCTCCTCATGGATCTCCTAAATCCACTCTCTTCTTTCTCACTCATTACACTGTATCCACAGTGACATTTTTAAACATGCCAATTTTGTTATGACTTGCTTTCTTAAAAACTTTCGCATGAAGAGAAATCTCTTCAGCATGGACTACAGAAGCCTGGGAATCTGGCCTCCCCAACACCTTCATCCTTATGTTGTGCCCTCTTCTCCCTCCATCTCCTCGCTCCAGCCACACCAAGTAATCTTCCATTTGCCTTGCAGTCACATGTCAAGGTTTTCAGATCTACGCTTTGACTTGTTATTTTTCAGATGTTAGCTAAGTCATCAACTCTAGGAAGTACGATGCCACTATGATGTAAAGTCACAGCACCTCCTCTTTATAGCTCCTGTCCAAGCTGCCGTTTTATGTTTCTTTATTAAATACTTGAATGTACATCTCTTCAATTAGACCATAAGTTTCATGAGGGCAGGGACTCTGTGTACTTATGTTTATCAGTGTATCCCTAGTATCTAGTTAAAAAATCCACTTAATAAATACTGACAGATTAATTAACCACACACAACATTGATCAACTTCGGAACTACGCTTCGTGGCATTACAACAATGAACTAATCAAGGTCACCACTCTCAAAATGAGTAAAGAAGGCCAAAACAACCACCACCAACACACACACACACACAAAAAAAACCACCAACTTACCACAGTTGACCTCATCAGTACGATCTCCACAATCATCCACCAGATCACACAACTGAAACTTTCCTATGCAAGCCTTGGTGTGTTCACACCAGAAATGATCCAGTCCTTCACAGCTCTCAGCGGGAAGGGGGAAAGTACAATTTTCAAATCTGATGTCATCAATAGCTGAGACTCCATCATAGATGCCAAGACTGACTTTATCTAGTGACAAATGGAAGGGCTGAGAAAGGCGCCCTAGCTGAATGGTTGCGTCTGACCATTGGTTGCCCTGGTTATACAACACTCTCCAAAGTACTGTGGAGTCGTTCGATTCTTCCATATGTAGCTGCAGCTCAGCCGCTCCAACTGACAGCCCATAGTTATAAAACCTGAAAAAGAGCAAACACGAGAAATGGAAATGATTTATGGGATAGACTCAATATTTAACCTTTACGCTTTTCTACTTGGTCGACAGTCAATTAATAATGAGTTATAATGGACACGTTTCTTTCCTGTGGGAATTGTAGTGGCCTGTTTGCAAAAGCTTATCTGCTGAAGGGCATATCTGTGGCTCTCACAACCCTAGGAACTTTTCTCAAGGAGCTCAGCACAGAACAGAGGAAGCAGTCTTAATTAACTTATAATACACTGATGGAGGGAAAGAGCCCCTTTCCTCTTAAGAGATGAAACAACAAATACTCATAACATGCTCCTAAGTAAAGTGCAAATTGGATGAATTTAATGCAATAGTATTTTTAAAGTAAAACCAGGAGTAACCCATAAGAACTTATAAGTGCAAGAATATGTCTGCAACCACAGGGCCACTAGGGTGACTGATTTTTGTCTTTAATATTTACCAGAAGGAAAGTGTGCACCCAGGTCCTGTCTGGCTGAAAGTTGGGCTCTGGAGCTTAGCAATTTGCCACAAGCTGCTGCTTTTCTTCAGAATGAACATAAAATGCCCTATTGAGATACAAAAACAAATCATTAGTCAACCTACAGGATTCTAAAATGAGACATCTGTCTCTTAACCCAATAGTAAGTTCCATGTCCAACTAAAATCAAAACCATGCATTAATTAAAAAATCAATAAAGTGATTCTCCAATTTACTTTTATAAATATTGAACTATTATCTATGTCTAGGTCTAAAGGATACCAAAAGAATTAGTGATTTCAGTTAATTCAACCAAAACTATCTATACTCCACCTGTACCAGCCATAAAGAATCATTCCATGAAGGCAGCATAACTTGACAATATTTATACTTGGCAATATTCAACTGCCCTACTGTTTATTGTGACACAGAAACGTAACAGCTTCTCTTTCTCTTCTCAGGCATGGTGGAACAGAAAATAGAAGTGGTTAGAGAGAACCCTTGCTTCCCTCTTACCTTGAGTTGTATTGTGAGTATGATCCCGAGGTGGAGCCTGGTGCTCTAAGTCACTAGAAAGGTCACTTGGGGAGCTCCATATCCAGTCAAAATGGTCACCACTAATTGCTTCAAACCAACCACAGCTGTCTGCTTCAAAATCACATTTGGAATCTGAAGAACAAAAACGTGGCACTTATGTCAACTCCCCACAGTGTTCTCAGACTTTCAAAAGGTAGAGCTCAAATGGAAATCCCTTATTATGATTCTCTAACTATGTTAAGGGAAACACTTGAGAAGAAAAAAAAGAAGAACTTTTCTCATCTGAAAAAAATGGAATTGTGCTTTTCATACTGGAAATTGAGAAGACAGAATTCTCAATTTAAGAAATTCTAATTTTTTCCAAATATTCTTTCTAAGAAACAGCATCATTCATCCCCAATGTTTATAGTATTGCTAAGTTTGCCTATTTTGTTCTGATACTCATGTTAGTTTCTCTGCTATGATTACATCACTGGTAAAGTTTAATTGTTCTTATAGAGTATTTTACACCAAGTCATGAAAATCAGCTACTTCTAAAAAACTTAATATTTGAAGAATCCCAGACCCACTATATTTAATATAATTGGTGCCCCCAATTTTTACAGAGCTTAATATTTCACAAAGCATTATATGCATTTCCTAATTTATCCAGAGAGGAATAATTTGACCCATTTCTCAGGTAGATATGCAAAGAAAGCAGTTAAATGCCATGAAGACATTCTGGAAGATGAAGAGAAAAAAAGAAGAAGAAGAGAAAGGGAAAGAAAGTTATAATAAAAGGGAAAGAAAGAAGTTATAATAATAGTAGTGTATTATTATAGCCAATGATTACTGAACACGTGTGAGGAATGGTTTCTATAGATCTAACAGTCACAGCAGCCCTATGGGAAAGGTATTACTAGTATTATTGTTGTTTTAAAAAGGAAGAAAGGAAGTTTTGCAGAAGTTATTAATTTAACCAGGGTCATACAGTTAAGAAATTGTAGAGTGGGATTAAGATCAAAATATTGTGACTTTTAAGCTAATATTCTTTCTGCAACTATTGACAATAACTCTTTCTTTTTAATTTCAGGATATTATGGGGGTACAAACATTTTGTCTACATTTTATAACTTTGCCTCAACCAAGCCACTCTTAATTATCATTGGATAAGAAAAAGGATAAACCAAAAAGGCATAATCCGAATTTTGCTTAGAGTGGACATTGAGCTGTTACTACATATACCACTGCAAAATGAAGTCCATTTCCACTGATGATGATGGGTTTCTTTGACATTTTTTATCCAGGGATATAGTAATAAACTGCACAGATATTGCCTTTTAAAAAAAATTGGGAAATAAGCAATGAGTTTAAGGTATAAAAATATAAAGTCAATTGCTATATGAGATTATAAAATTTAAAAATTCTAAGGGCATTTAACCTAATCTATTGATTATCATTTTAACCCAATTATTATTCACTTTTGAAAATGTTACTTCTACATAAAGAGGACTATGAGGTGAGTAATAATGTCACAAACATCTTCTAACCTTTTCATAGTTTCTATTAAATATCTAATTTCAAAAATTTGCTTGCTTTCTATCAAATTTCCTGGCCCAAATTTGGCCAGCAGAGTACTTCTGAATGTTATCAAAAGTCAATGGGAAAACAAATCATGCTCCTGGATAAGTAGAATTAACATTGTTAAAATGTACATACTGCCCAAAGTGATTTACAGATTCAATACAATCCCAATCTTCACTAATGTCAAATTTCACAGATCTAGAAAAAATAACTCTACATTTCATTTGGAGTCAGAAAAAATTCTGGACAGCAAAGAAATCTTAAGCATAAAGAACAAATCTGGAGGCATCCATTATCAAACTTCAAACTATACTACAGGCTATAGTAACCAAAACAGCATAATATTGGTACAAAAAATAGAGATATAGAACAATGGAACAGAATAGAGAACCCAGACATAAAACTATCTACCTACAGCCAACTGATCTTTCACAAAGCAGACAACGTACACTGGGGAAAGAAGCCCTATTCAATAAATAGTGCTGAGAAAATTGGATAGCCACATTCAGAAGAATGACACAGGATCTCAGTCTTTTACCACTCACAAAAATTAATTCAAGATACATAAATTACTTAAATGTAAGTCATGAAACTATACAAATTATGGAAGAATGTGTAGGAAAAACTCTTCTAGATATCAGCCTAGACAAAGAATTTATGACCAAGACCCCAAAAGCAATTGTGGCAACAAGATAAATAAATAAATGGGACTTGATTATATTAAAAATCTGCACATCAAAGGAAATAATCAACAGAGGAAATAGACAACCTACAGAATGGGAGAAAATATTCTCAAACTATACATCCAATAAAGGGCTAATGTCCAGAATCTACAAAGAACTCAAACAAATCAGCAAAAACAAAACAAAACAAAACAAAACAACCTCATTAAAAAGTGGGCAAAAGATATAAACAGAAACTTTTCAAAAGAAGATAGACAGATGTCCAATAAACATATGAAAAAATGCTCAATGTCACTAACCATCAGGGCAATGCAAATTAAAGTCTCAATGAAATATCAACTTGCCCCTCTCAAAATGATTTTTATTAAAAAGTCCAAAAATAATAGATGCAAGTGTGAATGCAGAGAGAAAGGGACACTTACACTCTGTTGATGGAACTGCAAATTAGTACAGCCACTACGGAAAACAATATGAAGATTTCTCAAAAAACTAAAAGTATACCTACCGTTTGACTCGGCAATCCCACTACTGGATATCTACCCAAAGGAAAAGAAGTCATTTTATGAAAAAGACAACTGCACTTGAATGTTTATTATAGCACAATTCACAATTGCAAAGTTGTGGAATCAACCCAAGTACCCATCAATTCCTGAGTGAATTAACAAAATGTGATATAGGTATACCATAGAGTACTACTCAGACATTTAAAAAATGAATTAATGTCTTTTACAGCAATTTGGATGGAACTTGTGACCATTATCCTAAGTGAAGTATATGAAGAATGGAAAAACAAACACCATATGTACTCTCTAATAATTTGGAACTAATTGATGGGCACACATGGGAATAGAAAGAAGTAAATATTATTGGAAATCAAGAAAGGGTGAGGGATAAAAACCTACCTAACAGGTACAATGAACACTACTTGGGTGATAGGCACACTTATAGCCCAGACTAAAGCATTATAAAAGCCATCTATGTAAGAAAAACATTTGTACCCCCTTAACATTTTAAAATAAAAAAGTCAACAAGAATGTATAAATACATCTAAAGATAAACACTTTTAAAATGTTGCATCTATTTTAATAAGTATATAGAGAAAATCAGAAATAAGCAAAATGAAAAACATCTTTGCTATAATTGTAATAAAGATTTCTCAAGTAAACTTTAGAAATCTACAGTGAAGCAAATTTAAATGCTACTCGAATGTGAAAAATAATAATGATAAATAATACAAGTTAGGAATAAAATGTGAAGGATATTTGTCTTTGTGTTTTTAAAGGCTATCTCTATTTAGGAGTACATAATATATAATACAAATAATGCATAAATATACATAGATTCAAGGGGCTTCAAAGTATGTAGATGTCATTTCAATTCCAGGAAGCAAATGCTTTTGATTCTTATTTCAAACATTCTGAAGAACAAGATCCAGGAGTTATTGTTATGTAAATATAAAAAGAAAATGAGCTATTGATACTGTATAATATCTATCCCACACAACTACCTGGAAAGGGAACCTCATTATCTACTATCCAGAGAGATACTGCTGTGTAAATAAGTGCCTATTCAAATATCAGTAAAATTTAAGGAGCCCTTGCAGTGACTTTGTATTCTCTTAAATAAGGCTCTTCAGAGATAGTAATTTTTAGAATGATTATGCTGTTAAAATTCAAATATGTTTTTAGTATACTTTGTTCCTGTATACTTATATTTCCATACACATATAAAGACTCACCTCAATTGATCATAAATGTAATAATCACTTAAATTAATCTTCTGGTTAGCAATTAATTGAATACATATCTCACTAGAACAGCTTTGAAAAAATTATATATATATATATATTCTTTTCTGACTTAGAAATACAATACCCTGAGTATGTTTTAGTAATAAAGGTTCAAGGATTTTCACTGTTTCTGGAGTATTATTGACTTTCTCAATTATCATCATCAGAATCATCATCATTTGCAATGACAATTGCAGCCACTGTTTACTCAGGGTTTACTGTGTACTAAGCTTTGTGCTAGGGGCTGTTATGTTCATAACAGGATGCCTGTTGACATGGAATTTCTAAAAATTATGCTTTTCTATTCAATGGCTGTGGGTAGAAAAAGTAATGATTTCAGAGCAGCTTCTAATTATTGTGAGAAAAAATTACCTAATGGCCTGTATAATTAATTACGTAAACATAATTACAGTATTTTCCTCTGGGGAAAGGGCTTTAAGGGATATGTGGTGGACTGATGAACAGGTCCATCATTGCAATTTTTTGAGGCTTTCACTGAGGAAAAAGAAGGTAGATTTCCATAGGAGCCAAAAAATCTCATGAAGGGAAAAAAGAGTCCAGAACTAGCTTCCGTCTTATTTCAGATTCAATGTCTTAAAAATCCTCTCACGGTTTGAGATGATCTTACTGAGGTTTATTTGTAAGGAATAAACACAAAGTGCACAAAAGAGAAGTCTGGGCCAATAATTTGGGCATTATACAAAGATTTAAAAATTCATAGGAGGAACTATGTCCTGATACACCTTGTTGTTGAACTTTGGACTCCCTTTGATTTTAGACGCATAAGCAAGGGTTGAGTTAAAAAAATGGCTGAGCATGTGAGTGGTAATTTGAAAAAGATAGAACTCGAGCCCCATTGAAGGCCACCAAGGTGACTTACAGAGAAATCTGAACCAGCAAGGACAAATACATTGAGAAAACATCTGTCGATACATTATGTCATCTTACTTAATCCTCATGAAATGTCGAAGAAAATATTAATGTTCCTATTTTAGATATTAGAAATATAAGGTTGAAAGAGGAGTAACATATAATTTTTCAGTGCTCATTGCTACTGACACAATCCCCACCAAGACCTGATGTCAAAGCCTATGCTC